GGAAGAGGACGTCATCGTTTTCGGTGTGCGAAGGCGTGGGGAGGACGTTAAAGGGGAGGGACTTGAGCCGGGTCAGAAATGCGGTTCTCACCAGAACCGGTTTTCTTGAATCTGATTAATAGTTATTTCGATTGTCTGGATTTTTTTTTAGGTATATTTTAGTATTTTCGTTTTTTATTTATCTGGGTGGTTGTATTGTATGTCTGTCGGTTGCCTACTTTTTTTTCCATTTTTTTTTTTTTTTCAATTCCTTTTTTCGTTTCATATGTTGTGTTGTAGCATTTGCTTTTTACGAGCGTTTGTGAATTTGTTCAGAATATGTATGTTCTATTTCGTTTCTTAGCAGTAGATATCTTGTGCACATGCAACACTAGTAAGTAATATTTGAGAATTTAATATTAAAATTCTAGATAATGAACATATTACATTTTCAAAAATTTAATCATTAAGAAAAATAAATTAACGATTTTATTATTATGAACAATTGTTTATTATCATTAGATAATAACAGTTTGATTATTATTACTATTATATTATTATTATTATTATAAAAAACACAATTGTTTATAAGCTTCTAAAGTTGTTTGACTATGCTATTAAAACAATTTACTAATTGTATTTAAAGAAATTTTTCCATGAGATACAAAAGAAAAAGATAACATTGATGTTAATATAAATAACTTGAAACAATTGTTTATAATTATGTAATTTATATTTATTTTGAATTATTATTAGTTGGTAGCAATAACTATTATATAATATAATAGAAAAATACATGATTACACTTAATAGGATGTGTTAATGTGAGAAGTAAAAAAATATTAATGATAAATTTTGTAACTGAAAATAGAGGAAAAATTTTAGAAGTTTTATATTATTATTATTATTATTATTATTATTATTATTATTATTATTATTATTATTATTATTATTATTATTATTATTATTATTAAAAAACACTTGTTTATAAGATTCTAAAGTTGTTTAACTATGCTATATATTAAAACAATTTACTAATTATTTTTAAAGAAATTTTTTTATGAGATACAAAAGAAAAAGATAATATTGATGTTAAAATACATAGCTTGAAACAATTGTTTATAACTATGTAATTAATATTTATTGTGAATTATTATCAGATGGTATTAGCAATAACTATTATATAATATAATAGAAACATACATGATTACACTCGTTAAGATGAATTAATGTGAGAAGTAAAAAATATTAATAACTTATTTTGTAACTAAAAATGAAGGGAAAATTTTATACGTTTTATTAAATAGGTTTCATTAAATGCTACATTCCAGCAATGATATAGATATAAATTTTTGAAAGTGTTAATGTAAATTTGTTGTTTGTTTATTAGCGGATGCGTTGTATATTGTAGTAATTCATTGATTTGACTAGCAAATTAAATTGGTTTTTTTGCAAGTAAGTGTTAGATAAATAGAGAATTGTATATCTATTATAAATGAAAAATTTATATTGACATGTTATTCTATGAATCCTCTTTTCATTTAATGAATTTTTTAAGAAATTGTGGTTTGGACAAAAAAAAAAACTAATTAAATAGTTTGATGAATCAAAATACTTAAATGACGCTAATTTGATACCATGGAAACAGCCAATAAGTTACTACCTTCTATTCTTTTTAAATGTTATTTTGGCTTTATCAACTATTAACTATAAAAATGTCGTTTTGGGTCTTTTGTACATGTTTTTCCCATTATTACCCTCATTGAGTCAATAAATACATTACATCTTTTCATATTCACTCTTCATTTTTTTCTTAAAACATTCATTTCTATCTTCATTAAACAGGGTTATTATTGACAACAAAAATATTCTTAATTATTGTGCAACTTTTCAAAACGACATTTATTTTGAATAGGGGGAGTATAATTGTTCGAGCAATCTTCAAGTGATGTGATTGATTTGGATCTATTATTCTCCCTATATTTATATAATGATAGACCTGACCTACTTGGTGAGGTTCTTAATATTATGATGGCCGTTAATATATTTGTCACTATCCCGTTTCGTTGTATTTGTCATTTTATTTTTTAATTCTTTATTTAAAAAAATGACAATTATAATTAAATTAAACTTAACTAAAATACAATCGGTATCGAGTCAGAAGGATCATCATAACTTAACTAAGCCTCGCGTACTTCATCTTTTCACCTTAAAATTAAACTTAATTAAAATACGAAAACCGACAACTTTTTCAGCCTTCGCCTCCGCCTAGCGCCGGACGTCCGTCGAGATGTCGGTGCTCAGCCTCGCGTGCTTCATCTTTTCACCTTGTAGTAGGGCTGCAAATGAGCCGCGCGGCTCGCGAGCGCTCGAGTTAAAGCTCGACTCGACCTCGAGTTTGACCGAACTCAAGTCGAGCTCGAGCGGCTCGAGCACGAACTCGAGTCAAGCTCGAGCCCATATTTTTCCTTGTCGAGCGGCTTGAGATACATGTTAAATTACTAAAGTACCCTTTATACATATGTTAACATAGGTCCTTATTGGTAATTTCACCTTTCTACTTAAATTTTTTTGAGTCGATCTTGAGCATTTTGATTTCGAGTCGAGCTCGAGCTATTGAAATTTTTTATCGAGTCGAGCTCGAGCTCGAGCAGCTAAAAAAAAGTCAATCCTGCTCGATAAGGCCAATGCTCGACTCGGCTCAGCTCGTTTGCAGCACTACCTTGTAGGAGTGTCGGTTTGCGCCTTGGTGGCTAGTGGTCTTGGTCGTCTGTCGGTTAGCCTGACTTGATTGGGCCACTCGGTTGTGTGGTAAGGTGCCTACTTGGGTCTTTGTTTCGAGCCTCCGACCTTATCTTGACGTATTCCCCATCTTCCCTCGGTGCCGAGCTGCTTTGGGTCCGGATCTGGACTTCAAATTTGTCTAGGCGGTTAGAGTTTATGCAGTTTTCGAGTTTGGAGTCGAGATCTGTTATTCGTTTGGAGTTTGGTATGTGGGTGTGTCTCGATTGTCGGTTTAGGTGGTCGTGTGAGTTGTTTGTTTTGCTAGGGGATGTTTTACTCTAGTTGTATATATTAGGTGTGTGTTTTTTATTTTTTAGTTAGTTTTTAGTTCGTAAAAGTCCAATTGTGTTTGGCTTTCAATCTTCTTTATGGAGTTGGATTTTATGTGTTTGCGGTTAACTCATTATGGAGGTTGTACCTCACGGATACAGGTATGCCTACGAGAGGGTAGGTCTTTTTTGGTTCCTGTGTGCCAGTTGACACTCCTATTTATTAATATAATTATCATTTCAGAAAGAAAAAAAAATAAAAAAATAAAAAAATAAATATACGGACAAGAGTGGAGTCATTTTAACATGAGTGTTCCCCATTCACAGAGAATGTCACTACAAAAAATTCTCAAGTAAGAGGGACAAACGAGAAAGTCTCTCAGTTGGTAGCACTCTTCACTTAAGAACAATAAATTTTGAGTTCGAGTCATACAACAGGTAAGTGGGAAACCACTATTGATCAATTTTTTATTTTTTTTTTAAAAAAATCTAACTCCAAAGGAGTTTAAGAGTGTCATTAGATATGAATTTGATTGGCTTTTCATTTTGTTTTTTTTAACCATAGTTATTTCGAAAAGAATAGTATGATTAGTTAGTGGGACCTTAAGTACGAAGATCACAACAATTTGAATCATTCTCATGCATAGAGTTGAAGATCGCAATCAGTACGAAGATGGATCACCTGATCAGGAGAGCCTTTCAAATATCAAACCACACGTAGAAATTAAAGGGTCCCAATGAGCCTGACGCGATTGATGCATAAATTGAGAAAGCATATGCACTGAATAAGACAACTCAGGTCGAGTCACTGCCAAATAGATAAGACGTCCAACTAAATGACGATAACGCTTGAGATCAGACAATAGATCACCCTTAGCAAGAGGGAGTTGATGATTTTGCTATGATGGAAAATCAACTGGCTTGCTGCCAAGTAGTCTGACCTCAAGCCAATGGTCATGTCGAGGTCACAAACAGAATTATCCTGAGCGGGTTGAAGGCAAGATTGGGAAAGGCCTCGGGGGCATGGGTCGATTAACTCACTTCAGTACTTTGGGCATATAAGACCACTCCGAGGTCGACGAGAGGTGAGACCCCATTCAATTTGGCGTACGAGATGGAAGGATTGCTACCAGTTGAGATCGAGCTGGAGTCTCACCGGTCGACCACATACAATCAGGAGCAGAATGAAGAGCTAGCATGAGCAACATTGAACACAATCGACGAGCTACGGGAACAGACATCAACCAGAGTAGCGACATACAAATAAAGAATGCGCAGCACACGACAAAAATGTCAAAGTCCAGACACCATTCACTCGCTGATAATATTTCACCATTCACTCAAATCTTCATCGATGTTTGCAGTTAACAAATACCCACTCCATTCCATTCAATAAGAATTATCGGTTCACATAATTTTATTCCTATAAAGAATATTGTAATGTAACATACTTGGATATATTTCTTTTATATTTGAAATCACACAAAATAATGGTAAAAATGGCATAAGTTAAATCTCTTACCAAAAAAAGAAAAAGAAACTAGTTGACATGTCATTAGATGAATGGGGGTTGGGCACCACCCAATTGGGTGGCATCAATACAATCCTAGAAACATACATAAAACCTTAATTTGCCGAAAACCATGTTGCTTTGACCTCAACATAAATAAAAAAAAAAAAATATGTAGTTTTCTTCAACCAAAGCCTCAAACAATTCCTTTTACCCTTAGAATTTTCACCAGCCGGTGAAAATTCTCAGGCCAAAAAGGGCTTAATTATTCTTATATTCATCAATCTTTTAACCAAACTCTTGTGTGAATTTTTCAATTCACCCCAACATGAAATCACATAAAAAAGAAGATACCTCAGTTTCTTGTTGGGTTATTGTTCCTATTTAACAATTATTACCTCATTATTAAAAAAAATAAAAGAATAAACAGATATAAGTGGATCATTTGCATATATATAATGGAAACGGATGGGAGTCGTGAAGGGGGAGACGAGAAGGGAAGAGAATTGGAGGAGGCACGGACGTGCGACGAGGCGGCGGCGCCTGTGGTGGTGTACAAGAAAGGGGCATGGAGCAAAGAGGAAGACGAGAAATTGAGGCGGGCCGTAGATAAATACGGGATTCGTAATTGGGTTGCGATTGAGAAACATTCGGGATTAGGCAGGCCCGCTAAGAACTGCAGGCTCCGATGGTTGAACTATTTGAGGCCGAACCTGAAAAAGTACCCGTTCACGCAGGAGGAGGAGGAATTGATCTTCGAGCTGCATTCAAAATATGGAAACAGCTGGTCTCGCATTGCCTCCAAGGTACCAACAATTTTCATTTCATGTATATGGGAATGGGATAGATATCATCCTCATCATTATATTACTAATATTAGACAATAATGATCATTCTATATGTTTTTATTTACTATATAATATATGTTCATGCATATGCCTTGCATGCATGTACAAGATGAGATTTTTTTTTTTTTTCATGTTGCCATTGAAGATCCGAAAAAGTTGTGTGATGACAAATTGAGTAGTCGTAGCTAGTCGAGTTCGAGTTCACCTCGTTTATCGATACTAACGAGTCTATATGGAACCTTAACAAAACGAGCTAGAGAAATATACATTGAAATTCCTATTTTTGAGCTTGTGCTAACGAGCCGGACACACAAGTTGTGCGTTTCGCTCCATTTCGTTTAACTGGTCCAGTCACTGAGTAATTTAAAACACTAATCACTTGTTTCGTTGTGACTGCTCAAATTTGTTTGATTACGTGCTAGGCCGAGTTAAAGTGTTGTATGATTATCAATAAAATAGAATTATTAGACATATGTCAAACTCAAATATATTACGCATAGTTGTTCATTTCGGGGTAGTTCAGTCGGTAGACTCGGAGTCAGAACCGGTCCGAGTGAGTTATTCGGACTGGGTAGCTACGGACACAGTCAAACTCGGTCAAAACTAGGTCAGCCCAACCTTCCCTCGGTCGACCCAAGAATTGACCCGGTGGGATCATCCTGTTGACCCGACCCATAAGTTTTATTTTGTTTTTTTTTAATATTTTTTTATTTTTAAACTATGTATATATATTTATATAGTAAATTTTTATTATGATATACAATATGATTAATACTTGGATGTACAAAAATTATCTGCGAAGCATTTAATTTGTAACTTTTATGTATATTTATATAATAAAAAAATATTATATTATATATATATAATTTTAAAAATCTTATTATTAATTATTGCGTTCAATAATTGACTCGGTCACCGCAGACCTATATTATTAGGACAATGTACTAATTTAACAATTAAAGTAAGTTTAAGCAGGAAAAACATTTTTTGTTTCACATATGTAATTTTATCATATTGTAGAATTTTTATGATATCCCAAATTTTCTGTGTCTAAAATGGTATCATTACATATGTTGTAATGAATGCAGCTTCCAGGGAGATCAGACAACGAGATCAAAAACTTGTGGCACAAGAGAGCCAAGAAACGTCACAAGCACCACCTCCCAATTTACCCTTCAACAACACCACCACCACAACATAACCAAAACCACAAGAACGATGAAGCCATTAACAACGCGAAAGATAATTACTTTTCTAATAATAATCACAACCACATTTCGACTTTCTACTCTCAACCCACACTCCCCTCGACTTCCGCTCCCTCCACACCAAATCCAAATGCTACGTCCTCCCGCCATGATATGGCGATCCATTCGCCGTCTCAATTTGCTATTTCTACACCCCAATCACATTTTCACAATATTCCACAAAGCCCCTCCAACAAATTAAAGGTCGACCAAACCACCCAAAACTTTCTTTATTCCAACACATCGCCCCAAATTCAAACCAATTTAAATAACGATTTCATGATACTCAGAAACCCTCCCATTCTTTCCGCGCCACAAAGTTCCTTAAGACGATTCTCGAGGACCAATAGTAAAATATCGCGTTCAACACCAAATATTTCTTCAGCTATGGAGTCACCAAGGTCTCCCCTAAAACTCAACCTATCACCCACGGTGCAAACAATTGATTCTTTTCCCACATTTCAACACCAATCGCCAAATGCGACCCCAATCTCTCCCCTCAAGCTCCGTCTATCAATCCCCATACCTTCCGAATCATTCATCCAATCAAATTCCAATCTTCTTTTGAAACCATCTTCAAATCAACCAGCAACCGTCCATTTTAACAACAATGTTCCTCAAAGGGAGGCCCCTTTGATCCAAGAGGAACAACCTGATTGCAGTTTGGAGATTATGGAAGAATTGAGGGAAGCTCAAGCCAAGGTCAAATTCTTAAAGAATAAACTGAGGATGAAAAGAATTCCAAATCAGAGAAGCCAACCCAAAGGGAGTCCAGAAGCGGCGAGTGAGGGTCCACTTGATGTGAATTCAACGACAAAAGAATGCACATTACACATGACAAGTTCAGGAACAAAAAATTTCGTTGATCGCGTCTTGAGAATGAAACAACCCATCAACAACTCAAAGAAAATAAAAACAACTCTATTAAATATCCCAAGAAACAAAGGTAACACGATCACGAGTGGTAGTGAAGAAAGTTCAGAGACAGAAACTAAGCGAGGTAGTGAAGTCCCTCTAAAAAATTGTTCAACTTTCACTCTTAACGAAATTTTCAAGGGGGAAAGTCACTCCATAGACCTTTTCAACCATCTCAATGCCCAAAACACTCATACAACTCCACACAATAATAGTATGTGCGCTTTTCAAGGTCTTACGAGTAAATGCTCGGACGAAAAATGCTCTACCATGGGCACCTTATACAGCCAAAGGTCTGCTCTTTTACAACAAGATCCCATACAAGGGGATATGTTTGATCAAAGGTCGAGCCACTTTCACCCAGATGACGACCAATACTTTGGCTATAGTTTTGGGCAGGAAATCGCAAATGGGTTCGGGAGAAAACTCGCCAATGACGGCTCGATGGAGGATAATTTGGGGACAAAGTTGACATTTTGCGAGCTAATGAATAACCAATATCCCGAATCCGAGCTATTGGATTCGTGTAGCCTGGTGAGTAACCCGATCATGGAGCAAGAATATTTTCGCATCGAGCAATTTTCCGGCGAAAATTCAGAGCTTTGCAAACAAGAAGCTGTGTTTGGGAATCCATTGACGGCTGCAAATCTGATAGACAACCTGGTTGACTCGGTTAACCTGGTGGAGCCCACAAAAGGCAACAAGGGTTGTGCACCAGATGAACATTGTAGAGAACAAAGCTTCATGCAGGGTTTACTGGTGGATAACTTGTGGGAAGATGAGACCTTTTCAACAAGAAGATATCAAGAATCCAATGATGGGAATAATGTTGTAGCAGGTTAGTTTTTTTTTTTTTTCCCTGTAAATAACAAAAACTTGTTCCTTGTTTAATTTTGTTTATTTTATTTTTTTGGGAATGTATTTATGATTATCAACTGCTAAGGGGAAGTAGAAGAAGAGCAGGAGAATATCAACACCATGTCTGAAGAACTATCGAGTCTGCTCGAGTTTTTTCCAAGCGCCAGCCAGACGCTAGATTGGTATAACATGGGGAGTGCAGTTCCTTATGATTCAAAAGCTTCTGGTGAGTTGGACAGTCTCCAAATGCCCTCAACTTCTCACCCACAACTCACAATCGCTGACTATCTCTGACCTTATGTTTTTATTAGTAGCTCAGCAAATTAAAAGTAACCTTGTGCTGTTTCAATCATATTTTGTAGAACATCATACTGTATACTGGGATTTTTTAATGTGAAAAAACTTGAGATTCTTGACTTGGAAAGTGTAGATTGCATCGAGCAAGTCTGTTTATCAAGTGCGAGCCAATCGTACCTATTATATCTTTTCATTAATCATATTTTGTAGAACAACATATAAGGTAACTATATCCCAGCAACAACAATCCAAAAGGGGAGAACAGAGAAATATATTCTTAAAAGCATCCATAATATTAAAATATTCAACTCATAAAAGTTTGCCGACATTTTTTTTAGAACAAACAATCTCTTGGGAAGAGATTGATAACACCAGCTAGACAGATAATCAAAGAAATTTACAAGTCTTAGTCATTGGATGAAACTATTTACATAGACAAACTGAACCCTTTCAATTCAAAGACATCCAAAAGTGTTCTCACCACTGTAAGTCATGTACAAGAAACCATCCTCATCTTTGTTCTCCTCATATATTGCCGACATCATTGCAGCTGCATTAACACGTAAGTCTTAATGTGTCGGAAAGAAAAGCCAAAAGGTGCAACAGAACTATATTCATATAAGACATCAAGATCCATCAAGTTTTTCCTTACCAGTAGGTGGAAGAATGTTTTTGACAAATATGAAGATAGCCTTCTCGGCACTGAGCTTGATTCTTTTGCGGACAACATAAACGAATTGCCCAACAGTGAGGTCAGCGGGGACAAGATACCTACATTTTTTATTCAATATTCGTTATGACAACACCAATCAGCACCAAGTCGTGGTTTATATTTGTAGTAATCGGAAGCACGGGGTTATTTTATACTTATTATCGCCTAAACTTGGTAGATGAAGCTATTATGCCATTATAATCTCCATTTATACAGGATTTTACTTAGGGTTTTCACTGAAAGAACAATTCAGATGTTAACAATTTTTTACACTGAAAAATCTGGACTTTAGCACGCAGGTGAAATTAAATTCAGCAAATAACCCAAATACAGAAAGATAATGAAGGGAGGCTAACTTTTTCTTGTCAATGTCAGGTATATCGCTTCTTTCTGCCTTCTCCACAATAACCTAAAATACCACAAGCTGATTAATAATGACGGGGCAAAAAAAAAAAAAAACTAAAATACCCAAAACAGTAGAAAGAAACGCATGTGAATGAATATACCGGAATTCGGTCCGGGTACTTCTCCCTGATACGAGCAGCTTCAGCCTGCCGCCTTTCTGCCGCATGTAAAGACTAATGCTATAATATGATAATAAAAGGCGAATGCATATAGATGGAGAATGACTTGCCAAGAACATATAACTTTCAAGGCTTTTCATACAACAACAAAATTAATTCGAGCATAGAACATCAGCTTCTGTACAGAATGTGCCCAAAAAAGAACATAAAAAAAAATATCATCTTTATTCTTGAAGTGGTAATAACTATCATAAAAAGCCAATGTTTCTAGCAATTTTATCAACACCGAAATTATAAAAGTTGCCCCCAAGTTTTAGGTAATTGCAAGAAGAATCCTCAAGGTTCAGATATAAATAAACAGATCAATTGAGAGCCAATTTTCATATATTACACAAACATCAAGCCAATTATCGGATACAAATCCCATCATTAAACTAGAACAACGAATCAAAATTAGCCATAAACGAAAACGCACAAACTATTCGGGCCGGATCTTGCAACTCCGCTGACATGCCAGTTGGATGGTTAAGCATAAAGACTCAGAAAAATTCAATTCCACAATACAATCGACAAATCAAATCTGATAAACCATGAAAGTAGACGATAGCTAGGGTTAATGAACAATACAAATTGGAATTATACCGAGGGGATGCTCCAACTTGAAGTAACTTTTAGCCATGGAGTCCGGCGGCAGCAATCCGACTTTCCCAACTGCGAAAAAAGAGGACGAAAGACAATGGCAATGATCGGATTCAGTACTTAAACGCTGAAAATAAATAACTATGAAAAAAAATGAAAAAGAAAAATTGAGAACCCTACAAAGAGACGGAGTGGAGAATATAGCAATAATTTGGTTGTGCGTCTCTCTTCCGACTTATTTATCCTTTTCAGTTGGGCGTATTGTTTTAAATAGGTCACTAAATAGACGTGGCCAAAACCCGGGACGGGTCGCCGGGCTCGAAAACAATGAACAGGACCCAACACGGACCTATACTCGTGCCGAGTCACTGTCTCGGTTGGCCGAGCCGGGTCCGTCATTTTTTAAAAAACAATAGAAAAAATATAAAATAAAATAAAAAGGCGGGTCATCGACCCGGCCCGGCGGGTCCTTCATGAAATGGTTGACCCTGACACGAACCTTCGGGAAATCCGGTCCGGGCCCGAACCCGTAGTCAACGGGTTTGACTGGGTCGGGTGCGTGCCGGGTCGGCGGGCTGGCGGCCCTTGGCCATGTCTATCATTACGTAGCTCGTTATATATATATATTTTTTTTTGGAAGAACGTGAAGTAGCTTTATATACTTAACATTTTTCTCGAAAAATTTATGCGAAATGTTGAAATGACACGTTTACTTACTCTATTTTGAGTTATTTCACACTATTGTGCGCTACATTGTGTTATATTTTTGCAACGACATTTGAACACTAAAATATTCAAAAACTCGTATTTTTTAGGGATCAGAGTCATATTTACAAATGACAATTAAAAACTATAAATTTTGATAATGATTACAAATTAAAAGTTTAAAAATGCAAAATCTTAAGTTGAATAGTGCAATACTTTTTTGTCTGTTTTTGTTATATCAGTTTATTTTTTGATATTTGACATTTAAATAAACAATAAAAAGTTCATATATAATAGTTAGAATTAATTTGTAGTTAAATAAAAAAAAATAATTAAAATAAATATACTTAAAATTATACTATGACTTACCTCATTATATTTTCGTTTCTCGTTTTTACTTTTTAGTATATTCGATCTAGTATTAAATATTTATATTGTGATGATATTTACATTAAACACTTGTGAGAATTAATCCTTAGATGTTATTTTTGAAGCCATTCAAATACTATGATAATTTTTATAATCAACCATCAATCAATTTTTATTATATGCAAATATACTTGTAATATTTCTATAAAAAAAATTAAAAAAAATTATACCCAAATAGCTTACGCAACACTCACCGCTATTTACGCTACGCAATATAAAGACCAAAATGCGACACATTACACTATACGCGTTTTAAAATACTGGTTGTGAGTGAGTGGGATGGACTTGGATATAAATTTTTTACTGCATATTTTTTTATTTTTTTTTTTTGTTGACCAAAATTAATTTTTAAAAAAAATGGTTGGTTAGAATTGAGTGAAATTTTGAGTTTGTATTAAAATGATATTCGATTAAAGTTTTTTTTTTTTTTTTTTTCCAAACGACAATCAACATAAAATTACTCAAAAAAAAGTCTTTACAATGCGAGGCCTAAATAGGCACAAATGATACCTAAGCAAACCATAAGATCTACTCAAGTAACAATAGAATGATGTTTTAAGGATCACCTTGCAAAGCCATCTTGGCTATAAAGCTACAATCTTTACACAAAGTAACATCAAAAGAAAAAGCACAAGAACTAAAAAGAGAACATAGATGCTTGAATTCTGAAGCTCTAGAATCCATCTGCTCCCCATCTTCAGACACCTGCTGCAGCCACTCTATCATTGACTTGGAGTCCAAATGGCAGTTGATGTTCATCCACCCTTTAGCTAAAGCTTGCTCCAGAATCCAACAAAATCCTTCAAATGTAGGCCTCCACTGAACTACCACTAAAGTCCCTAGATGTATCCCACAAATGAAGGTCCTTGTCTGCACTAAAAGCCTTGCCACCAATACCCATTCTTCCTTCCTGAACCCAACAACTGACAGCAACTCCAATGCTCACCCTACTCTCCCCTTTTCCCCCTCTATCCACACTGCTCCCAAAGTCGATACCTCTCTCTTCACCCCCTTCCACATTCCTCTCACCCCTATCTCTCCTAATCCCTCTACCTAAGCTATCACAATCCTTAAATTGCTGTCAATCATCATAGGCCTGTTGGACTACCCTGTGCTCCTTAACCCATTTATGTTGCAAAACCCAACAATTCCTAGTTTTCCAAAGCCACCACAATAAATAAGTAAACAAACTAATCCTATCAATCATGTGGTTGGCCTTGGGAGCAGTACAAATCTCATACCACCACACCCCAAAATCAGTATCCTTCCTATCTACCCTATCCCAGCACACCCCCACTAACTTCCAACACAGTCTAGCCCTATAAAAATTGAACAGAATATGATTCAAATCCTCAACCCCCCTCCCCATACAAATCACAGATTAAGTCACAATCAATACCTCTTCTGGCCATTTGCATTTTGGAGTTAATAAAATTATTCCAGCACCTCCACAAGATTTTTTTAATCTTATTCTGAATAGGAAGACCCCAAGTCACCTTCCACATCCTGTCCATAAGATTCCTAGCACTACACTCCTCCTATCCTTAACCCCTTGCTTACCTTGTTTCCTAATCAAATCATAGACATTCTTCACAGAAAACACTCCATCTTTTTTCCCATGCCACACCCATCTATCTTTCATACTCACAGCATTCAGAGGAATGTTAAGAATAGCTTTAGCAGTTTCTGGATCAAAAGTTTGGTTAATAAGGTCCCTATCCCACTGGTAACCCCCAACCCCCATAAGCTCTCTCACCTTACTCAATCTAGTCCTATCCCCAGAAAACCCACAAACTGGCACAAACCCTTTTATCTCTGGGATCCAGGGAGAATCCCAGATATCTGCTAGCCTCCCATCCCCAATCCTAAATCTAAGGCCCAGCCTCAGAGACTTTCTAGCACCTATCCAATATTTCCACAACCAAGAATCCCCTCCTTTAATCTCAACATCCCACAGCTTAGTCCTAGGAAAGTATCTACCCTTGATAACCCTGCTCATCAAAAGATTAGGCATAGTGAGGACCCTCCATAATTGTTTCACCAACAGAGCCTCATTAAAGACTCTCAGATCTTCAAACCTTAATCCCCCCTCACTCATATCCTGAGTTAATTTAACCCATCTAGCCCAATGCCATTTAAATCCCTCCCCTTTATCTTTTTTTCCCCACCAAAAGTTTGCTGCGTCCCTGCAAATATCATTACACACACTCACAGACACTCTATAGCAGGACATAATATAAGTAGGGATTGCCCCTATCACAGATTTTAACAACACCTCTCTACCTGCCTCGCTCAGATAAATATTTTTCCAATTGGAAATTCCGTTTTTTACAACCTCACTCACAAATTTGAATGTTTCTCTCTTAGATCTTCCAATTTCCAAGGGCAGACCCAGGTACTTAGAAGTTCTAACTTGCTTGATCCCCTGTAAAATGCTACACACCCCATAAATAGTGGCATAGTCTGAATTTTTAGAGAAAAATATAGAGGATTTGCAAAGATTAACACACTGCCCAGAGGCAGCCCCATATTTAGAAAGGATATTGAGGATAGTATGAGCATGAACAGAATCAGCTTTACATAGGAGCAAGGAATCATCAGCAAAAAACAAGTGATAAATAACAGGAGCCTCTCTCCCCACTCTAATACCCTGATATCTTCTATCAACTCTAGCTTGACAAATCAAATTAGAAAAAGCCTCAGAGACAATGATAAAGAGATAAGGGGATAAAGGACCCCCTTATCTCAAACCTCTACTAGACCTCACAAACCCAGCATTCACCCCATTCACATTAAAACTAAAGGAGGTACTACTAACACATGCAAGAATCCAACTCACAAACTTCTGACCAAAACCCATCTTCAAGCAAACCTTGGCTAAGAAATCCCACTCAATTCTATCATAAGCCTTGGACATGTCCAATTTAACAGCCATAAACCTACCTCTCCCTCACCTCTTGCTATTGATGTAATGAATACATTCATTAGCAATAATTGCATTGTCCAGGATTTGTCTTCCTGGGACAAATGCAGATTGAGCTGAAGAGATACACACATGAAGGACAGTCTTAAGCCTATTAGCAAGAACCTTAGCTATAATTTTATACATGACATTGCACAGACTTATAGGTCTAAACTCACTAACCTAGGTGGGATTTTTCTTCTTAAGAATAAGGGTTATAATGGCATGATTAATGCCCTTAGGGATTCTACCACTCTGGAGAAAATTAGAGACAGCCTCCCAAATGTGACATTTCACAATGGACCAAGAACTGTGAAAGAAGCCCACAGTGAGGCCATCCTCACCTGGTGCTTTGTTATTATGCATCTCACTAAGGGCTTCCCATATCTCCTCATCTGAAACTGCCTCAGTCAGCTTGGAATTCATATCAGAGGAGATAGATTGTGGAATTCCCTCAAGATTGCAAGACTCCACACAAGGATTTGTAGACTTAAACAAATTGGCAAAATACTCTTCAAGCACACCAATAGTCTCTAGGCTATTCCCATTCTCCTCTGCAAAATACTCTAATTAAAGTTAATTTGATATTAAAGTACAAAAATTGTAATTAGAAGTGATGGATAGTTAAAATTCGGTGTGTGTGTGTGTGTGTGTGTGTGTGAATAGCGAATTAAAATCGATTTGATGTGTGATGACTATTTATTGGTATTATTTAATTACATTGATAATATTAGACTTCCTCCTCGCCTTAACGGCGATTCCATCTCTCGGAGGACGACAAACAACGGCTAACCTCTTGAACATGGGGGCTTTACTGGCAGACATTATGACCCAGTCATTGAGACTGAGGTTTGACCCGAACCCGGTGTTACAGTTAATGAGAAGGAAAGAGGTTGCCAAGCAAAGAGATTACCTTTTTGGGTGCAATCCCTATTTATCCACTC